AAAATAAACTGTAAAGTGAATTTACTGTACATTTTGTGGGCGAAACACGGCAGCCAATTGCTCACAGCAGTGTAGGCAGCATCAAGCCAAGCAAAATCGCAAAGCTGAGAGGTGCACAATTCCTCTTGTGGTCGACGTGGAGCTGAGATTCAGCTGCAAATAGCGGGCTCTGCATAACAGCGTGGGGATTAGACCAGCATGCACACAAGCCAATTCATTGGTCAGGTGTCAGAGCTGGAATGGTATTTACATCAGCTGCAAAGGAAAAGGTTTTGACTGACAAGATGATTTATGGAGACAAGCAACTGGAGCCTTTGTTCAAAAGTTTACATTGGCGGGTAACAACATGACGGGAAAAGCAGGCTTTCAGTGCTGAAGTCCATTATGTCTGGTCCAATTGCAAGGTCAACACAATTTTCAAGGCATTGTGAGGTCTCCCTGTATTTATAACCAATTCAGGGCCCTCAAGCTACCTCAGCCACAGGAGAGGGAAGGAATAATTTGTGCTGGCCAAAGCCACTTTTTAAATATACTTTTTAACTGTACTGTACCTACATGACTCCTGATTCTAACCCCCAGCTCAGGTGCACATCCTTGACTGTCCAGCGCTTTGGGATGTCCGCCCGACCTGAAAGGTGCTATACAAATGTAATTGGTTGTTGTAGTTGTTAGTATGGCGTTTAGGTGTCATCCTGGCTCATGCACTCTGGCCTCTGAGTAGGAAGGTTGTAGCTTCAGTGAGGACTTTGAATTCATGGTCTACTGAAGATCCGCATTGTTGGAGGTGCAGTCATTGAGATGAGATGTTAAAATGAGGTCCTGTTCAGATAGACATTAAAAGTCCCACGACACTACTGGGAAACCTTTACATCCCCTGTTTATCTAATTCCAGAGAGAATCAGGTGCAGGTTGGCAAGAACTAAGGTTTGGTGACCCCACAGTGTTGGGGTACTGCCCAAGATGAAAACATGAAAAGGTTCTCTGTAAGTTTTTTATGCAGTCTGGAAAACCAACTTCAAAGTTAAGACTGAGTTTAACGATTTGTCAAATTCTGCTCCCTATAAAGTGCTATGTAAATAGAGTAAATCTAGACCCAGGTGGAATTTCTGCCCATTTGTTTTTAGTTATGATTTATTTCCACATTGCTCAAAAACTGTTTACTTGCCTGAACGTCTGAGACTTTCATAATATTGGGAAACCAACGCCGGTTATCAGAGATCTCTCTATGTGCTTCATTGAGCAGAGCTCTCCTTGGCGTACAATTAGAGCAGTGGGGAGCGCTGGGAGCGAAAAGCTTTCACCTCTGAATCATTCTGCTGCAAGTGTGGTGGACTTTCACAGCATGTCTTTTTGGCAAATCATCAAGATTGACCACCAAATGAGTGAGCTGTCAGACAGCATCAATTGTGATTTAAATCAAAAGTGATAAAGTTACATAGAGTAAAAGTGAAATCTAAATGGTAAAGTTAGGTGTCAGCACGGCTCAGTTGGTAGCACTCCAGCCTCTGAGTCAGAAGGGTTGTGGATTTAACACACACTGTGGGACTTTGAACTTATATAGTCTCGGCTGATGCTCCAATGCAGTGCTGGGGGAATGCTATGTTGTTGGAGGTGCAGTTCTTTGGATGAGAAGTTAAACCAACTGGTTGTTCAGGTGGACGTTAAAAATCCCCTTGGGACTATTCGAAAAGGAAGCAAATTTCTCCCAGGAGTCCTGTCCAACAGTCCCCCAAATAAAATTGATTATTCAGTCTGTGGCTGTTTGTGGGACATTTAGCACAAATGGGCTGACATGTTTGCCTACATAACACTCAGTCACCCCACTTGATAGTAAATTCTGTGAAGCAAGCACTTTGAGGCGGCCTTCCAACTTGAATCAAATACAAGGATTATTATTACATATGAGCCCTGGAGACTTGCTCCTACATCTACTCTGGGGGAAGTGGTTCTATAGATAATTCACACCCATACAGTTGGTATAAGTTGGGCTGTCAAAGGTTCAAACACCAAACATCAACCAAATAGGTGTTTTCCCCCTGTCCTAATTGAAAGCAATGTGGAGTCAATAGCTAAAGCTAGATTCTACTTCCGCTTAACTATCTGTCGCAATACAACTGAGAGTTATAAACTGACCCTCTTTCAAAACCCATCTGTCAGGCAGTCGGTCGGTGGTCATGGATGTAAACGACCATGATCCTGGCACTTCTGCCTGAAATGCGCTCTAATGAGTATTTGGCCTCACACACACGCACACACTATTAAAACGTAACTGAATATTTAAACAGAAGTCGCAACATTAGCCTGAACATTCCATAGGAGCTGCAAAGTGCAGTAAATCACGTACTCTTTGACTGCAGTATTTTACAGAAAGACTTATGTTGGGAAATCAGGTCCGTTCGTAAACGTGGTTAATGTTTACTGCTTGGATTATGTCAGTCTGTTCTTCAGTGTTGAAATATTAGCCTGTGTTCTCTTCAATTCTTTTTTATGGCACAGAAAGCCATCAACATTATGTTATCCTTCAGCATCTCTACAGTGGAGAGAGATTGTATATTAGATTAGCCAAGTGGGTTCAAATCCCATGTCGGGACTTGGCACTAACATAGTCTATGTTGACACTCCAGTATCTAATACAGCTCTGGAAGTATGCTCCATTATCAGAAGTGCCATCCTTCAAATGAGTTGTTAAACCAAAGTTCTGTTTGCCCGTTTAAAATCCCATAGCAATCTTCAAAAAGAGAAGGAAGTTGGAATAAAATTGGTCATTCACTTCAAGGTTTTTTTGTGGGACATTGCTGTACACAAGTAGGCTTCCATGTCCTCCCACAAAACACATAGTCACTCCGCTTTACAGTATATCCAGTGAAATGTTTTGAGTCGTTCTCCTAACATGAAAGACACTATACCAAATGTAAGGCAGATGATTATTATTATTATTTTAATTGTTAAGTTACCATTGTTGGACTGTGGACTTATCCAACAGATACAGGCTGAATTTAGGGAACTTCTAAATTTTATTAATAATAGATACCAATAATACTTCCACTTGATCAAAGCTCTTCACAAGATTTACTGTGCATTTTGTAAGTAAATAGGGCAGTCAATTTGCGCACAGAAATGTCTCACAAAATAGTCTGAATGACCAATTTTACCTGGAAGATGGTTGATCGGGTCACCAGGTGAAATTCCCTTCTATTTTCAAATAGTGCCTTGGGATCTTTAATGTCAACCCGAAGAGGCAGATGATTTTCTGAACAAATTCCTCATCATCTGTTCCTTCTAGCACTGCAGGACTTCAAGCTAAAATAGCACACCATTGCCATACAACAACGTGCTTTTAACAACAACAACTTCCATTGTCATACCAACAACAACAACTTGCATACTCCAGGCTCAAACCTTGGCAGATTGAAGCATTATCCCTGATCCGAGCTTTTACGAATCACTGCTCAATGTGTTTGATGAACGTTTTTATTGAAATGGATCCAAATGAAGTTTCCTGTTGATGTAAACTGGGCAGGGAATTCCCAAGAACAAGAGAAAACCCAGTAATGGTTATGTCAACACAGGCCAGTCAGGCCATTGCGTGAAGGTCATCTCATATCAAGTGCCTCGGACACACTGATGGTCGTGCTCCAACAGCAACCAGAATGAACCAAAAATAGAACAAACCTCTGAATGAATTGAGAACAACAACAATAACAACTTACATTTCTATAGTACAGAGTAACATCTCGGACTCTACAGAAACGGTGCTGGACATCAGATCGGGGGTGGGAGGTGGGGAGATGACAGTACGCAACTTTTTTATTATAAGGGGGTAGAGCACACTTGTGAAGGTATTTCAGGTCTGCGATATATCTTTTGATTCTCGTCACTATTGTAACTGTTTTTGCTTTGCTGTTGCAGTTCACTGCATTATCCAAATGTTTTGTCCTGTACTGTAACCCGCTCTTGGGTGCCCAGTATTCTGAGTACATTCCTCAATGTGTCAAGGAGCTGAATGACATCCGCATTGCTTTCATTGTTGTATCGACTCAAACAATAGGAAAATAATATATTTCACAGTAGCACTCGTTACTTCATATAGAGACTAGACTATAGCTTTCTTTGTCTGAAGTCAAAGGAACTCCCTCTTCTTGATGTGTACAAGGAGTCTGTCTCATAGTGCTATTCACAGGATTTGTTCGGGAATCTAGAAATAATAATCCTTAAATGTGATGAAGCGTCTTTTGCATTTCACATTATAAGGCGCTATATCAAATGCAAGGATTATTATTATAATAAGAGTTTGAATGAGTGTGGCTGTGGTGGGTAGTGAGTGAAACGTGAGCACTTTAAAGCACTGAGACCAAAGAGCATGTCTCAGCCTCGATCAACACAGGTGAACATTAGTTTAGTTTGCAAAGCACACTAAATATAAATATTTATATTATATATAATATAAATATAAAATATATATTTATATTTAATATAAATATCGCTTTACAGAATATACTATAAAGTGAATGGACTGCATGTTTTATGGGCAAAACGTGGCAGTCAATTGTGCAGAGCAGTGTCCCACAAACATATTATTTTTTAAAATATTAATATTAAATATATTAAATATATTTAATTTAATATTTTAATAAAATAAATATATTTAATTTAATATTAAATTCAATATAAATTTGTATTTTACATAAAAAATAAATATAAATATAAATTTATGTTTATTTATCTATTTATAAATATAAATATATATTTTTGCCCAGCTGACCCCCAAAAAATCATTTGAAGGCATTGACCATGTAAAAGAGGTGGAGAATGTTTTACGGCCTTTATCACATTATTCTAACAAGGTAAGCAGTAATACTTCTAAATTATGGCTTCTTCACTATAATTATATATTATTCGTGTACTTACTTACTCTATGTTGAATTTTGCTCTATTACTGTTTCTCGGCAACTTGCTGTTCAAGTGATGATTTTGAACTTGCTTTTCTTTCTCTGTTGCAGCTTTGGTTTGCGTTTGTCAATGGGTTTTCAGGACAGATTCTCTTTGAGAGATGGTGTATCGGGCTGTACAATGTGGTGAGTGTGTTTTACTTGAATACTCCGTGTTGGTGAAATTTGCCTAGACGCATCAACACAAGTTGGAAAAGGAGTGTTGAATACACACTTCGGGGTCAAAATTGTGATATTCATCCAAACTATCTAAACTTCAGGTCAATCTAAACCTCTGTTGCCCATTTCATGCACCCCTGCCTGCTCCGCCCCTCTAATAGCCATCAGTCATCTTGCCCCCTATCTCTGGAACTTAAATACTTTCCCCAAACTCTTTCTCTCTATGCTTTTAAATCCTTTCCCCCTCCCTTCCATCTTGAGTTCCTGCTCAGTCTTTGCATAAAGGTGCTATGTAAGTGTAAATTGTTGTTGCTTGCGTGGAAAGCACTCTCTCAGGGCCTACTAGCGAAATATTATTCTGCTCTGATTGAGATAGAATAATAATAACATGGAGTCCTGTAGCTTAGTGGATAGACCATTCTCTTCGCAAGTGAGAGGACTGAGTTCGATTCCCAGCAGGGCAAAACGTTGAGCAAGTTTCCTTACTCCACACGCCTCTGTTTACTTGCAGTAGATAGGAACCAGGTCGCGAATCGATTGGCAGATCGTTTTTCCATGGATAATAATCCCTCAAAAAAAATAATAATTATTTGTGGGACGCTGCTGTGCATATCGACTGCCATGTTTAGCCCACAAAACATACAGTCAATTCACTTTATAGAATATTCTGTGAAGCGCTTTAAGACGTCTCAAAGACGTGAGTATAGCGCTGTACCATATGCAAAGATTATTATTATAATAATCTCGATGACATGATAAGGCACTATATCAAATCCAAGGATTATTATTATTGGCCATTATTCACTGAATGAGCTCTTGAGCACAGTTTTCAGTGTTTGTAGCTTTATTTGGATGTAAATGATTTACTTTGGTAAGGAATTTGTGATTAACTGACTGTAAAGTTTGAGTGCTGTAAGTTCACAAGATCACAAGGGAGGATGAAGAAAGCCCTTTGGCCCATTTGTGCTTGTGCTTCCGGAATACCCACCCTATCGTCCTCCCATTACAGGATCGAGCCAGTATCCTGACCTCTACCTACCTTCCTGGTAACTGTTCCCTCTGAGTACAGAAAGACGTTGAATTATTGTCTCCCCAAGCTCTTATTTTCTTCTGTCTTTTTGCCCTCTAGATATTCACTGCCTTACCTCCCCTCGCACTGGGCATCTTTGAGAGGATGTGCACTAAGGAGAGTATGCTGCGCTTCCCACAGCTGTACAAAATTACACAGAATGCAGATGGCTTCAATACAAAGGTGAGGAGTGCTTCTAACTCCATCACAATGTGTAGTTTATGCTCGCTCTAGATCGATCTGTAATTTTTTTTCTCCAGTGTGGTCAAAATAAGGCACCCATTTCTCTCAGGTTTATAACTTATAACTGTCGATTGTGAATACTCTGTGCACAGTGTGTGATCTCTAATATTACACTGGTGATGGAGGAGAAAAATACTTAGAAGACCTAAATGAGGGCCTGAGATTTCAGTGAGATCTTGACTGCGGTTTGACAACATGGAAGGTGGCGTCTCCGAGTTTATTCACAGGATGCTCCCCAGACAACGGTCCGGGCTTTTCATTGTGATTTGGATCTTACTGCTATTCCAAAGTCGGGAGGGGGGAGGATTATATCTAAACATTTGTAATACCATTACTTAAAAAGGGACCAGCACGTGGTTTAGAAATGCTGCAGTTTGGGCCCTAATGTGTTTTGCTACCAACAGCATTTCCTCAGTGTAACAGTACCAATCAGACACTTTACCAGCTCCATTTTGGTAGACTATCTGATTGGGAGCCAGTTTACAGGCAATGAGTACATGGGTTTGTGAAGTCAGGGTGGATACAGTCGTAAGTAGGATTCAGTAGTAAGGGAAGCCTCATAAAGGATACATGATACATCCTCATTGGAAGGAGTAGGATTGATGGGATGGTGCCAGATCATGTTTTCTTGTTCAGCACTTGTGTGGGAGACTGTACTATAGCCTATCTAATTCTAGTGAGTCCCTCAAAGAGCTTCTATTTGATGGAAACATTGCAACATGGATAGAAAGTTGGTTAAAGGATAGGGAACGGGATGGGAGTACAGGATTATTATTTGCAATGGAGAGATGTAAATAGTGATGTCCCCCAGGGACAGTGTTAGGACCACTTTTCTCCATTAATATCAATGATCTGGATCCTGGTCCAAGGGGCACAATTGGTAAGTGTACAGATGATATGAAAATAGCACCCTCTCTGCCCGTCTTCAGCTTTCCTGAAAACTTTCCTCTTCAAACGTGTCTTCGGTCATCTCACCTCTCTTTCCAGTTCAACCTCAAGCAATACCGCTGTTAAGCATTCCAAGATGCTACCTGCAGGAAGTCGCTATATAAATACCAGTTGTTATTGCGTTTATATGGTCTATTACAAATGGCATGTTATAGACCTGAACGCTTAGTCTAGTCACTGCAGTTTTTTTCATCAGCCGAGTGTTTGACACACACGGAAATCTGTCCTGTTTAAGGTGTGCTAGTCTGGCTTAGCACTCTCGCCTCTGAGTCAGAAGGTTGAGCTCACATAGTCCACCTGACATTCCAGTGCTTTGCTGGGGGGAGGGGAAGAGGGGCTGCGATGTCCAAAGCACAGTCCTTTTGGTGAGACAATAAACCGAGGCCTGGTCTGCCTGTTCACATGGATGTTAAAGATCGTGTGACACTACTCAAAAAGGGAAGAATGTTTCTCCTCATATCCTGGCCAAAAATCCCACAGACAAAATTGGTTCAAAATTCACTTTGTTGGTGTTTATGGGACTTTGCTGTGCGCAAATGTCACATTTGCCCACAAATACAAATCACCAGTAACAACTTGCATTTATATTGCACCCTTCACTTAGGTAGCATCTCAGGACAGTGACAAATACACAGTCTCTACACTTTACAGTGTATCCTGTGAAGTGCTTTGAGACATCCTCCTGATGTGAAAGGGATTGTTATCAAATGGAAAGATTATTTATATATTATAATCAATAATAATTATTATTAATAATAATGAGAGTATACAAAGGAAGTACTGAGAGTTCCACATATGTATGGAAATTTCCTTTTGTCTGGAATTGATTGTGGCGGAACACATCTTGCTGACCTAATCGCAGAAGGTTTTAGATGCAGGTTGGCAGAAGCCAAGACTTGCTGTATATTTGTAGGCAATAGCAGAAATCAGTGTCCACACAGTAAGGTGCCACAAGCAGCCATATACTTAATTGATGCAACATTAATTAATGGTGGTCTTTTCCACACACTGTATCAGTGACTCGCTGAAAGAGAGGGGGTGGAAACTGTTAATCTACAGTCCTGCTTGAAGCTAGCTGAATTTTATATCCCTGCCCTCCAGTACTAAAACCACAATTTAAGTTAAGTGATCTGTTTTTTCTGGCACTGGACCAGCTTGTTAATAGTTCCTTAGAACTGTAAAATGTGATAAAGTTAATCCATTACAAAGGTCATAGATTCTGTTCCCATGGTCCTTTAATAAATCTGCAAGACTTGTAGTGCAATCATTGTCCAATTATTAAGTGAGATGATGGCTTGCTGTTTCACAGCTATTTTTCCAAAGTCCTCCGGCTTGTTGCACAGTTGTAGCTATTAATGTCTTTCAGTGGCATGTCTAATTAGGGTCAAAGTATTAAACCAGATCCACACAGCCTCCGTGCACATTCCTGATGTTTTATGTATTTGTGTAGTTTTTTTAAAACCATTGGGGAAATAGTCTAACCTACATAACTCGTTCAAGCTTATCAGTTGGATTGTGTGCCAGTTTGTAAGATGCAAAGTCCCTCCTCTCACAATGTCCACATTACTCACTCTAGAAAGGAGGGTGGGTTGTCAGCAGCAAACATCTGATCAGTTACAAGATACACAAGATCAGTTCTGTAATTTGACCAAGTCACCAGGAATAAGTAATAAATAATAAAATTTGTTGCATTTAATATTGTGCCTTTAACATCAGGAAGACATCTCAAAGCCCTTTCACAGTAGATACAGTATTGTAAAGTGGAGTGACTGTATTTTATTGGCAAATACACAGCCAATTTGTGCACAGCAATGTCCCACAAACAACCATGAAGTGAATAGCTGGTTTTATTTGGGGGATTGTTAGCCAGGACAGCAGGAGAAACTCCCTTCTCTTTTTGAATAATGCCATGGGATCTTTAACACCCACCTGAACAGGCAGACATCTCATCCGAAGCTCGGCACCTTCAACAATGCAGTCAGTACACACCCAGCATTGTATTGGAGTTCCAGCCTAGACAATATGAGTTCCACTTTCCGTTGTGGGGCTCAAACCTACAACCTTCCGAAAGTAGGGCAGAAACCAGGCTACACCTGCATACAGATCTGGTCGCCAAAACTTAATGCGTCTGCCCAGGTCCTGGAGGCAGTGCAGAGGAGAACAATGAGGATGATGCCCAGTGTTAGGAGAATGAGGTACGAGCAATCATTAGACAAGTTACTGCTCTTCAGCCTTGAAAAGAGATGTCTCAAAAGGAACCTTATAGAAATATATAGATTTTAAATGAGATTGAGGAAATAAACCAGAAACAATCCTCTCAGATATTCCAAAGCAGCAGAACAAGAGGGCGCGGGTTTAGGATAGCAAAGGGCAATTTCAGGATAGGAATCAGGAAGTATTTTTTTCAAAAAGCTCAAAATAATAATAATTTGGTCAGACAATCAATGACTATTTGTGGGACACTGCTGTGTGCAATAGGCTGCTGCATTTTGCCCACAAAATACAGTCAATACACTTCACAGTATATTCTGTGAAGCCTTTTGAGATGTCTGAAAGACGTGATAAGGCGCTGTATCATATGCAAGGATTATTATTACTATTAGTAACTGGAATGAGTTACGAGGAATGGTGGTTGAAGCCAAGACCCTGGATTTATTTAAGAAACTGCTCAATACTATAACGGAAGGACAGAAGGGGGAAAGATGAGATCAGATGGGCTGAAGGATAATAATAATAATAATAATAATCCTAGCATTTGATATAGCGCTTTTCACGTCGGGAGGACGTCCCAAAGCGCTTCACAGAACACACTGTAAAGTGAATTGACTGTATATTTGTGGGCGAACGCGGCAGCCAATTGCGCACAGCAATGTCCCACAAACAGTCGTAGATTGAAAATGACCAATTTATTATTGTTTTTGTTTTTTGGAGGGATTATTATTAGGCGTGTGGAGTAAGGAAACTTGCCCAAGGTTTCGCCCTGCCTGGAATTGAACTCAGGTCTCTCACTTGCAAAGCGAGTGCTCTAACCACTGAGCTACAGGATCTTCTTTATCTGAACCTCTCTTATGGGTTTCAAGACAGAAGTATACTGGCATATGAAAGATAAAGGCTTGAAGGAGAATGGGAATAAGGCAGGACATTGGAATTAAATCTGACAGCCAGTGCAGATCTAATGGCCAAATGGCTCCTTGTGTGCAGTAAATTTCTATTATTCTATGATCTTACCTTATCCATCAGAGTGCTTCTTAGATGTCCATCAATCCTCATTGATTGATTTCCTTCCACTCCCCTCAAACCAGGGACATTAAACCCCCTAATATCCTCTCTTCTTCCCCTCCTCCCCCCCCAGAACTGAGATCACCCGTTGACTGCACCTTATATTTGCATGTATAAATTACATTTGAAATTGGTGCATATTCCCCCTTCACCCCCCCCCCACCCCCAACTTGCTGTGTATGGTTAACTATAACTGCGACTTCTTTCAATGGAAGGAGAGAAAACAATTGCACTACTAAATGTGGGAAAGCATTTGTTTATATGGCTTTTTAAGAAAATAAATATTTGCCAGGTTTATTTTTACAATGTGATTTTTCTGCATCTCATGACCAAAAGAAAGGAAAATTGCTTGTAAGCAAATACCGCTTGAGTAGTTCAGAAGAGCCTGTGGTCACGATATGGTGGAAAGAATAAAATGTGTTAATTTTCTTGCTAAATGACTCAAGGTGACCTGGCATTCTTTGTACATGTGGAGAATGTATGGTGGTTGAGTGGGAGCTATGTGGCTTTGTGACATGACTGATCAAAGACCCGGGTAACCTATACCGGCTTGCTTTCCAGTGTCATATCAAGGTTGTGTTGTGTGACTGACTTTGCGAAGGATTAATTATCATGGACGTAATATTCTTATAGATGTGCCAAAGAGGAGGTTCTGGGCAAGATACCGGACGGGTTGGTTTCTGTTGCCAAAGCTGAAGCCTGCGAGGCCTGAA